AGGCGCGAGCGATAACCGGGCGCTGGGTGGGGCTGTGCCTCGGCCCGGAGGCGGATCTGAAGCGGGTGTGTGACCCGCAGAGCCTCTGGCCGCAGAGGGAGTTCGCACCGGGCGGCTTTCCAGCCAGCAACGCCTTTTGGCTCGCTTCTGTTCACCAGAAATGAAGTTGGGGGGCGGGGGGAAAATAATCAGCTTTTGTGTTTTGCAGTGAAGAAAACGTTTGGAAACTTTGTGACTACATCAGGAGTCAGGATCGATACCCTTTAGAGGAATTTTATGCTGTTTTCATATCGAATGATAGGAGGATGGTGAGTGGCAGAGGTGTGATCTGAATGAGGTGTGATGGGGAGATCCAGGCCTTTAGACCCCAGCCCAGCGTAGGTCAGGTGTGGTCCCAGGTGTTAAGGCCACAGCCTGACATAGGTGAGACATGGTCCCGACCACAGCCCAGTGTAGGTGAGACACGGCCCCTGGCGCTGGCACTGCAGCCCAACCTGTAAGCGAGACATGATCCAAAGCCCTCTTGTAGCTCGCTTCGGTTCAGAGGTGTGCAAACCTTGCCATGTAAAATCTTTCAATTTTCTCATGCATTCAGGACCATGGGAAGAGGCCCGATGTCCTTGAGAGCTGTGGGGGAATTCTTCCTGTAGTCTGTCAGTTTAGGAGAAGGATTATATTGTGTGGTCCAGAATAGTATCTCCAACTTCATGCTCCTAAAGGATAGAAACTGGAGAAAATTTTCTAACTGCAGCACAGATGTAAGCTGATGAAGTGGATAGATTAGGAAAGAACTAACAAATTAACCCTGAAATTAATCTGTATTAGTCTGAAAGGCTTTATCAGTTTCAGATATATCCACTTATAACTTTCAGATTCCACTCTGGAAGCAGAAATCAGGACATGGTGATGAGCCTGTTGTCTGGGTAAGGCATTCTGTTCTCTCTCTCTCGATTAATCATAGAATCACTGAGGTTGGAAAAGACCTCAAGGATCATCAAGTCCAACCGTCAACCCACACCACCTAACTCACTAAACCATGTCCCTGAGCACCACATCTACACGTTTCTTGAACCCCTCCAGGGATGGTGACTCCACCACTTCCCTGGGCAGCCTGTTCCAATGCCTG